GTAGAGTCAGTCCAGAGACCTATGAACTCCTCCATCCCAGGCCTGGCTCCCCTCCAGAGTAACTTTTGACAAATCATTTCCTTTCTCTGTCTTCAGGTCCAGGCTGTAAATTGATGGGCAGTTCTGTGACACACACACGCCCCCCCCCGACATTCCAATAACATCTATAAAATTACCCTATATGATTATATTTCTATGACTGTAAATGCCCCTAGGTTGTTTTGATCTTGTGGAGTCTGTCCCATGTGTCTCAAGCTGGAGCTACAGGAGACAATAAAAGGAGAGGGGTCCAGGTGACCAACAGAAGACCCTCTTACCTTGACTCAAGTCCTTCCAGATTTGGGTTTCTGACTTGTCCATCAATAAATAGGAGTTTTTCAGTCTCCTCCCCTTCCCCTCCATGATCCCGCCCCAGATCCTGAATTGTCTTCTTCAAGACTGATTCCATCCAACTAGAGATGTTGTTCAAGCAGACACTGAGTTTCAAGCTCTCAACAGGCCATGCTCCCCTCCCCTTCCTGAAGGCAGAGTGCCTGGGGACCCAGAAAGTAGGCCAGGTCCTGGAAACCTTCACAAAGTAGCACAGACAGGCCTCGGATGGACCTGCAGAGTAGTATACAGGGCCTCAGGCAGCCTCAGCTCTGACCCCTGCAGCCAACAGCCCTCTCTGTAGCCCAAATCCTGCCCCAGAATAAAGGAACCAAGCAGTTCCAGGCCTAAGCTCTGGGAGGAGAAAATCCCAAACGAAAGCCACTGAACTGATAGGAAAGATTCCGGAGTCTGACTCCAAAACCACTAAGCCGAAAGAAACAGACTACAGTCCAGGGACAGAATAGAGCACGTGCACAATGAGACAGGAAGGAGGCTGAATGAATGAGAAAGAATGACAATGGGATGAGTAACTGAGACCAGGGCATCCGGATCCTGAGAAATTTCCCACTATGGACAGTAAAGCTGGGTGTCTATGAAGAGGGGTGGTTCCTCAGTCCCCAAGCCCTGGGGAGTTTTACCAAAAGCACCCCAGGAGTTCAGTGGCTTACCAGAGGAATGGCCCCCACTCCTGTAGAATGTCCTGTCACCTCAAGCACTGAAGGGACTGAAATTGTATCTGCAGGCCCAGGGATGGCTTCCAACAGTGCCATTACAGTATTGAAACCTGCAGTGACGGTGCCAGGGCTGACTTCTATGAAGAAATAGGAGAATGAGCAGGCAGATGGCTGAGAGGTAGGGCTAGCCCACAAGACTTCCCAACCAGAATTCAGAGACCAGGAGGTTCAAATCAAACTAGCCTTTTAAAAATATAAGGACCAGCCAGATGGCTTGTCAACAAGCCTGACTACCTGAGTTCAATCCGCATGAACCTTGTGGTAGGAGGAGGAACTAGCTCTGGAAATCTATCCTCTGGCCTCCAAATATGTGCACTCAGCTATGCACATACACACACCTGTGTGTATGTATATATGTACCCATGTATATATCTATACATGTAAACAATTTTAAATTTAATTTAAAATAATAATTAATACAAGCAAATAAATCATTAGCAAGAGGTATTTAAAAAGAGCCTCTTGGTGACATCAGATTAATGGGGAAGAAGGGGTATCCCTGAGGATCAAACATCGGGGTTCAACCTTTCCAGTTTAGTCATGTATCCCCATTCTGAGAGTTCTCTCTTTTCTCTGCCACTAGCCGAGGAGCGCAAAGTGAAGTAGCTCAGCACTGAGGGCTTTGGTTCCAAAATGCCGCAATTGGTCAGCTTGGCTACTTACCAACCGACCATGAAGTAACAAGGAGTGGGATAGGATGAGTGTTACGATGGGAGTGGGCATGGAATGTGACCATGGATGCAATGAGCCCAGCACAATGCTTGTTAGAAGGCAGCGCTCCTTCCCTTGTCTGACGACCAAATCGGACATTCTTGTTCTCATGGAAGTGAGAACATTGTAGCTGGCTGGGCCAGGAAGTGCCCGCTCAAGATCAGAGTCAGCAGCAGAAAACACCTGAAGGTGGGCAGGCGTGGGCAGCAGAGACAGGGGCCAGGACAGTGCACCCCTTGCCTTGCTTCCAAAAGGCTGCTCTAGCATGGAAAACAACCAACCAATTTCCTTTGCAGAAAGACCAGGCTCCACAGCCAAAACTTGTCACTGGAGGCACCAGCTCAGAGGGAAAGGAGAGGGGAGCTAGCAGGCCTCCCCGCAGCACCCTTCCGTTGTCCAGACTTCTGAAGGCTCTAGCAAGAGAAAGGGTTACAGCCTTAAAAAGAGACCAAGCGGCTCCAGATATGAGAAGGAGGCTGCCGCATCCTAATTCCAGAATCCTAAACTGTCTTTTCCCTGAGCGGGCC